TCTCGTCAGACTCTCCTGCTGGTCCTCGCGACCGTCGCCGCGTGCCTCCTGTCGTCCGTAAACCACTCCGCGGCGCAGACGGAGCCGTTCCTCGTGACCAAGGCTCGCAGCACGCGCGCATTCGCCATCAACTGCACTAACGACTCGCTCAAGGCCAACGGCACCGCCGCGCAGCGGGCTCAGGAGCTCCTCGCGGCGAACGCCACTCTCGCCGCCGCCGTCGCCGCGTATAACGACGCTGTGCCGCTCGTCAACCGTCTTAAGCTCGTCCTCGCCGGCAAAATCGCCGCGGTGAACGAGTCGGCTGCGACGATTCAGTCGCTGCAGGAAATCACGGTGGAGCAGCAGGCGCGGCTCGAGAAGATGGTGGCGGAGAGCAGCAACGCGACGGCGCTGAAGCAGGCTGTGTCGGACGCGAAGCGACGGCTGGATTTTGCGGCACGAATGATTGACGACCAGACGGCCGCTATCGCCGGTTTGAACTTCGACGTCTACAAGGCGACTCGGCGGGCTGCCGATCCGAGCCTCACGGGCGCAGATCTGACCGATGCTCAGGACGACCTGGAGGCGGCGAAAACGCAGAAGGCTGACGCGGAGGCGCTTCTGGCAGATATGACTAAACAGGCGGTGCGGGCGCAGGCTTTTCTTGCTAAGAAGCAGAAAACTCTCGAGGACCCCGCGAGCGTTCAGGAGGACATTGCCGCGCAGCAGCACGTGATAGACGACGCTAAGTTTGAGCTGGACGAAGCCGCTGCGGCGTATGAGGATGCCAAGACTGCGGTGATTCAGGCGCAGTTTGACGTGAGCTACGCGAATGCGTCTATCCCCGCGAAGTCCGTGAATGTGAGCAACGCGAAGATTTTACAGAGCAAGGCGGTGACTAATAAGATCAGCGCGGACTCCGCGGCGAACCTTATGGCTTCTCGTGCGTACAACGCGACGCTCGCTGCTCAGCAGGCTGAGGCAGCTGCTAAGGCTGCAGGTTACACGTGGGTGTGGTAAGTAAGGACGACTCTACTTAGTGCAAGCGAGCAAGGCTGAGTGAAGCGTGTTCCCTCTGTCAGTTTCGAGGGGCTTCCGAATAAGTTCGCATTTCAGCGTATCTACAGCTAGCGTGTTTTGTCATGGTGCTGTTTCTTACGATTCTATTATGTGATCATCTTTAAACAACCTGCTGGCTGAGTGCCACCCTATTCATGCGTGTACTTCGGTTTCTGACTTCATCAAGGCAGACCTTTGCCACCAATATGGAGATAAATAACACCGTTTAGGAAAGTAGGCCAACTGAATTTGGTGCTTTCATTCTACTCTTGGTATATTGCCTTCAAATATCTCTATTCAGAATGCCAGTTGCAAAACACCCACTCGTGCGTTTATGTGTCTTCTTCTGCGGTAACCTAGCTCAACCCCACCCCTTCTCAACTCACCACAGCTCTCCTCAAGAGAACGAATACTATTTTGAAGGTTGGAAGTAGCAACGGCACGCCATAGCACCTTACACCATGGCAGCTGCAGCAGCGCCGAGCTTCCCCTCTAGGCCTGGCCGAACCTGGCGCTTGGCGGATAGGAGACGGTGCTCCAAGGCTTGAAGGGCCGGCAGCGAGAGAACGAGGGCGTCGTGCTGCACGATGCTGTACACGTTCAGCCCCTGGTGGGATGGGTAAATGGGACAATAACGTGATGGGGAGTAAGAGTTTGGGAGTTATTGAAAGTGGCAGCATTAGGGCGTAGTGCTCCACAATGCTGTACACATTCCGCCCCTGGTGGGGTGGGCCGTGGGTACGGGCAATAGGGCATGTACGATGCACAATGGTTATGGGCGATCAGCATGGGCAATGGCACAAAGATGGGGCAGTGGAGTGTGGTGCAGTGCGATTCAGTCCAGTGCAATGCAGTCCAGTGCATGGAAGAAGGCAGATCTGGAGGGGGGAGTGACTCGCAAGTGACTCACCACAACCGGCAGCACGTTCACATAGTGCAGATTTCCAGATGCCCGGAGCAAAGTTTCATCTGCCCGTTGCGACCCGTCAACGAAAAGGATCTTCTTCGACTCTGGGAACGCTGTGGCAATGTGCTGGGCCATGTCTTTTGTTTTCGGGCTGCCCGGATCCAACTCAGAGTAGAGCACAAGCTGTAAGGATGAAGGAGAAGAGGGAGCGAGAGAGAAAAGTATGGGGGAAGTGTGAGGAATAACTAATGCTGCTGTCTTAAAACAAAAAAACGGGCAATGGGCGGATGGGATACGGTGAAGGTGAAGTCAAAAGGGTAGCCTGTGGCCTCAGCTCAAGGGTCAAGGTTCAAGGCTCAATCCAAATCTACCGTATCCGATACCACACCTTGATCAGCCTCCCCTGCACCTTTAGGAAATCTGAAAAGCGTCCCCTCCTTTCCCTCGCACGTCCTTCCTTCCCTCCAGCCCACCCTCCCCCTCAACGCACCTGCCCCTCCCTCAGCCGTGCGGACAGAGCTGCTTTGAGCCCAAGTGCGCAAACCTTCTTTGTTGAGAGTACAGCTAGGAACACAGGAAGTGGAGAGGACACGACCAAATATGTCAGCACAGCACAGCACACAGCACTCTCACCTGCCCTTCCCTCAGCCGTGCGGACAGCGCTGCCTTGAGCCCCAGCGCGCGAACCTTCTTGTTGAGCGAGAAGGCGTGCGAGCGTGGCTTGGGGCCGTGCATGGCGGCTCCACCGCGGAACTAGTGGGGGGGGGGGGGGGGGGGGGGGGGTGCGGGTGGCGGGGGGAGGGAGAGGGGGTGGTGCAGTAAGTACATGCATTGGCATGGCAAGGAAAGGGGGGCTTGGGGCCGTGCATGGCGGCTCCGCCCCGGAACTGGTGGGGGGAGGAGCGGGGATAGGGGGGAGGGAAACGCGGTGCAACGAATGTGAGGGTTGGTATTGCGAGAGGGTGGTTTGAAGCCGTGCATTGCGGCACGGCTAGCGTGGGATGGGCATAGCGTGGGATAGGCATAGCGTGGGATAGGCATAGCGTGGGATAGGCATAGCGTGGGATAGTGTGATAGTGTGATAGTGTGATAGTGTGATCCCCTCACCTGCAGCAGTCCCCTCACCCCTCACCTGCGGCCCTCGCCGTGACCCATGCCTGGCCCGCCCCGTGCCCTTCTGCTTCCATGGCTTGCTGGACGTCCCCCGCAACTCGCACGCCCGCTTCGTGCTGTGCGTGCCCTGAAGGGGTGGGGGTGGGGGCGGGGGAGGGGCGGGGAAGTGGGGTATTGGAAGGTGAGTGGGGAGGGAGCGGCAAGGGAGTGACAAGACAATGAGGCTTGCTGGACGTCCCCCGCAGCTCACATGCGCGCTTCGTGCTGTGCGTGCCCTGAGGGGGTGGGGAGGGGCGGGGGAGTGGGGTGTGAGTGGGGAGAGAGTGGGAAGGGAGTGGGGAAAGAATGAGGGAATGGGTGGAGGGGGAGTGAGGTGGTGAGGACGAGAGAACGAGGCTTGCTGGACGACCCACGCACCTCGCCCACCCGCTGCAACGCCATCCCAGCCACCCAGAACCCATTACAATGCAACTCACCACACCCTCCGTCCTCTCCGCCCCTAACCTCGTCCCCTTTATTCGCCTCCCCCCTCCCCAAACCCCGTGCTCCTCTCCCTCCTACTTAACCCCTCACACTCCTCTCCGCCGCACCTGGCGGCGCTTCGCGAGCTGCCAGCACACCACGCGGTGCACGATGTCCCTCCGTACAGGCACGTCGAATATACTCCCGTCCAGCACCGCCTCTCCGCGCGCCTCCCCGCTAAAGCTCCGCACCGCCACGCGCCTGTCGCGGTACGTCCCCCACTCCGCCTCCCCCGTTTCCTCCCCTGCTTGCTCCCCCGCGCCGATTGCCCCCTCTGCTGCTGCATCCGCCTCTGAGGAATTTGCTGCTGAGGCTGCGCTTCCCGAGGCTGCGCTTGCCGAACCTACTGCACCTTCCGAGCCTGCGGAAACACCCTCGGCTGCATGGCCGCTGGTTGCTGCTGCGAATGCCACGTCAGGTCCTTTGCTTGAGTCCGACGAGAACCATCGTTGTTGCGACGTGCTTACGAAGCAGATCGAGTTGTCGCAGACTCGCGTAGTTGCTGGCGACGTCGCACTGCGAATCGCAAAACATCGCACGATCTGTCGGGTGCTGGCGACGAACGGTGACGGGTGTACCCAATGCGAAGCTGCAGGCGACGTTTGGGGATTTGGCGACTGCTGGTTGGCGGTGTGGGAAAACGCACGGGAGTGCGGACATGACGGGGCAGTTTGAACGAGAGACGTGCGGGAAGAGGAAGAGGACGCGGGGATCGGAAGATGCGAGGACGAGGATGCACGGTTGACGGAACCTCTTAGCAGCCGCGCAGCTATTCGTGCGGCCATGGCGAAACCCGTCCCAGCGCAGCAGACGGTGATGCAGACTGAAAGGTAAACGAGAGGGTGTAAATCAGATGTACTCGTTGTAAAATATACTCGCCATTGAAGGAAATGCCACCTAAAAGCACTTATCTCGCTTTGATGTATGCGCAATCTTAAACCGAACCAATTGGCGAAGCGGTTACCCTGCTTGCAAATGTTGTTTGGCCCAAATTATTCGCACCCAACCAGTGAAGAACTTCCTTTTTCGCTCAGACGTATTGGTTCGGCTCATCGGCCCTGCCTTGCCTTGATTCTTCCCCTTGCCACCATGATTTGCTCGATTGTTCCATCCAATCGCGCGGCCCTCTTGGCTCTCTCAGCACGACTCAGGGAATCCACGCAGTCGGCACTTTCCGAGCTCGAAGGACCTGAGAATCGAGATTGACGCCAGTTGTTCGTCTCCTCACTTATAACGAATAGCTCCAGGGTAGCTTTCGCCTGAGCTCTAGGATATTGCCGCTAGTTCTTCCTTCGTTTGTCAGCTTCATAAAATATATCGGACTCTCAGGCATCCTTTTTCCGCTGCAACAATCCGCGCCACCGCGTCCCCCCGCAACCTGTCCGCCCTCCGCCTTCCCCTTCCTTCCGCTGCCGTCATGGCGGGAGCCGCCGCGCTGGCGCAGGGTTCCGTCGCAGTCTCCGCACAGACCGCTCGGGCAGCGCACCAATCTCCAATCGCCGATCATTCTCGTCCCGGCGCGCGCCTGTCCAGCAGAGCAGCAACCGCAACACGGCTACCTCTCGCGGGCAACTCCGGCGCTGCACTGCGGATCGAGACCCGGCGCGCGGCGTTCAGGCGCAGTGCGGGGCGGCGCGTGGCGGTGGCATCGCTGGCGGAGGAGGAGCGGGAATTAGAGGCGGTGGAGGCGCTTTCAGACGCGAATTGGGCGCACATGAGTGCCACGTGGACCCAGCAAGTCCAGCTGGACGAGAAAGAGAAGCCTCTAGGTGCGATCAATTGAAGCCCTCTAGGAGCGAAAGGCTGAGTTTAAAGACGTCTGATGACTGCAAGCCTCGCGGTGCGATTGTGGATTTTTGAAGGGGAGAGTGACCGAGGGAATGAGCGATGGTGTGAAGCAGAGAGCTCGAGGTTCACATCGGGTAGAGCGATGCGCGAATGGTTTCGCGTCTATATCCGGCCCGGCTCCCCCTCGCCTTTCCGCCGCCCCTTCGCGGGGTCCTCTACCGCAAGCCGCGGCCTTGGCGCGGAGTACATGGCGTTTTCCTTCTTCCCCCCATCGAACCCCCCTTCCACCCCCCCTCTCCTTGTCTCCTCTCCCTCCCCCGCTTGCCCGCACTCTCCCCCTCTCCACTCCGCCCATGCGCGCAGCGGAATACATGACTCTACCCGCGTCGCAGTACTCGGTGCTGGACGCGGAGCGCATCGAGCGCGTGGACGGCAGCACGTTCCGCTGCTACGCGCACCGCGCGCAGTTCTTCAGCGTGGAGGTCTGCCCCGTGCTACTCGTGCGCGTCGACGAGGAGACCGACGGGTGCACGATCAGGCTGCTCTCCGCCACGGTAAGGACAGGGAGCAGGGCGGCAAGCAGCGCGAGAGGGCGGGGAGTGTAGGGGGGGAAAGGCAGCGCAGAGAGAAGGGGAGCAGAGTGGTCGCGTCGAGATCTGCCCGTGCTGCTCGTGCACGTCGACGAGGAGGCGGACGGCTGCACCATCCGCCTGCTCTCCGCCACTGAAAGCACAGGGAAAGCACAGGGAAGGTACAGGGGAAGCACAGGGAAGGTACAGGGGAAGCACAGGGGAAGTACAGGGGAAGCACAGGGGAAGTACAGGGGAAGCACAGGGGAAGTACAGGGGAAGCACAGGGGAAGTACAGGGGAAGCACAGGGGAAGTACAGGGGAAGCACAGGGGAAGCACAGGGGAAGCACAGGGGAAGTACAGGGGAAGTACAGGGAAAGCACAGGGGAAGTACAGGGGAAGCACAGGGGAAGTACAGGGGAAGCACAGGGGAAGTACAGGGGAAGCACAGGGGAAGCACAGGGGAAGTACAGGGGAAGTACAGGGGAAGTACAGGGAAAGCACAGGGAAAGCACAGGGGAAGCACAGGGGAAGCACAGGGAAAGTACAGGGGAAGCACAGGGAAAGTACAGGGTGGGGAGCACCACGTGTGGTTCTTGAGCGTGGAGGTCTGCCCCGTGCTGCTCGTGCGCGTCGACGAGGAGGCGGACGGCTGCACCATAAGACTGCTCTCCGCTACGCAGGGGGGAGGGAAACGCAGGAAGCGGGGGAGCGGAGGAGGGAGAGAGGCAGCACTGAAAGGGGAATGCGTGTAGGGGGGGCACAGGAGGAGGCAGGGTGCAGTGCACGATAAGAATGCTTTCTGCCACGGCTAGCATAGGCGCTGGGGAGGCAAAGGGAAGGCCAGGTGGAGGAAAGGGGGAGGCGAGGGGGGGGTGATGGGAAGGCACCCTCTGCTCCCCCCTTCCTTCCTCTCTGCCACCACCCTGTCTACATCCTCCCCCCTTTCCCCCCTTTCCCCCCTTTCCCCCCTTTCCCCCCTTTCCCCCTTTTCCCCTTCACTCCCTTCCTGCCGCCCACCTCACCTCTTTCGCTCCCAACCTCCTTCTCCCCCATTCATTTCTCTTCCTCCCCCCTTTCCCCTTACCCCCGTCCCCGTCCTTCTCTCCGGTCCCTTCCCCGCATCCTCCCCACGTGCCTCTCCGCGCTCCCATACCAGCTGGACTGGTCGCCTATAGTGAAGGCGCCCGTTGCGAATGGCCGCCGCTCATCGCCTCCCCCTCGCCTCCACGTGCCTCTCAACTTCCCCCCCCCTCCACACCAGTTGGACGGGTCGCCCATTCCCTCCTCATGCATTCCCCTACCCTCTCCCTTCTCCCGCATTCACTGTCTCTCTTCCTTTCCCCCTCCCCCTTCCTACTTCCCCCCATCCCCTTCCTTCTCCCCTCTCCCCTCTCCCCCCCTTCCCCCCACGTGCCTCTCCGTCCCCTCCCACCAGCTGGACGGGTCACCCATAGTGAAGTCGCAGAACAAGAAGTTCCGAGGTAAGCGCCACCTTTATTTGCTAGTTGCTGCTCTTAGTTAAGCATAGGCCTTTTTACTAAGCACCAGTACCAGCATTCTCCTTTCCAGCGTGCATGCCTTTCCCCATTCCCTTCCCCCCCACCCCCAAGCGTCCATGTTGAACCGGGTGCTCATCAGCACCCCACTCCCCCTTCCTCCCCCACCCTTACCCCCGCCCCCCCTTCCTCCCCCACCCTTACCCCCGCCCCCCCTTCCTCCCCCACCCTTACCCCCGCCCCCCCTTCCTCCCCCACCCTTACCCCCTCCCCCCCTTCCTCCCCCACCCTTTCCCCCTCCCCCCCTTCCAGCGTCCATGGTGAACCGGGTGCAGTGGGCGCCTGGCCCCTCCTCACCCTCCCTGCTCGCTCACCCCTTCCCCTTCTTTCCTCCCTCCCTTCCCCTTTATCCCCTTCCACGCACCCAGCGTCCATGGTGAACCGGGTGCGGTGGGCGCCTGACCCCTCCTCGCCCTCCTCGCGCCTCATCATGTCAGATACCATTCTCAAGGTGAGTGCGTGCCATCGTGCCAGTCATGCCAATCATGCCAATCATGCCAGTCATGCCAGTCATGCCAATCATGCCAATCATGCCAATCATGCCAATCATGCCAATCATGCCAATCATGCCAGTCATGCCAGTCATGCCAGTCATGCCAATCATGCCAATCATGCCAATCATGCCAATCATGCCAATCATGCCAATCATGCCAATCATGCCATCATGCCAATCATGCCAATCATGCCAATCATGCCAATCATGCCAATCATGCCAATCATGCCAATCATGCCAATCATGCCAATCATGCCAATCATGCCAATCATGCCAATCACGCCAATCACGCCAATCATGCCAATCATGCCAATCATGCCATCATGCCAATCATGCCAATCATGCCATCATGCCAATCATGCCAATCATGCCAATCATGCCCATCCATCATGTCCGATACCACTCTCAAGGTGTGCTCTTGCCATCATGCCCATATTGCCATCATGCCATCATGCCCATATTGCCCTCATGCCATCATGCCCATATTGCCATCATGCCATCATGCCCATATTGCCCTCATGCCATCATGCCCATATTGCCATCATGCCATCATGCCTGCATGTCAGCATGCCATCACGCCAGCATGTCTTCATGTATGCGCTCCCTCAATGCCTTCCTCACTACATGACCGCACAACTGCATGCCATCATGCCATCGGTGCGTCAATCATCGTCTCAATGACCGGGAAGGTACCAGTGACATGTCAGCACAACCACACGGGGAAATCATTCAAACTCCTCTACCAATACGCATTTCCGCTCACCTGTCTCGCCACTTCTCCCCCTTTCGAGTCCACTCAAAAATCACCAACACACCTCTGCAATCACCTGTCTCCCCCCAACTCTCCCCCCTCACATCACAGAGTTCAGTGGAGGTCCCGATGGCGCTCCGGTGATCCCAAGGGGTGTCATAGCGAGTGTTAGACGTCTCAAAACCCCCCATCTCCCCCCATCTCCCCCCATCTCCCCTCATCTCCCCCCATCTCCCCCCATCTCCCCTCATCTCCCCTCATCTCCCCTCATCTCCCCCCATCGCCCCTTCCACAGAGCTCAGTGGAGGTGCCAGTGCCCTTTCGGATGATCCCAAGGGACATCATAGAGAGTGCAGGCAACAAGCTGCCTCACCAGTACGCCTCTCATTCACCCGTTCCCCCCATCTCCCCCCATCTCTGCTCCACCCACAGAGCTCAGTGGAGGTGCCAGTGCCGTTCCGGGTGATCCCAAGGGACGTCTTAGAGACTGCAGGCAACAAGCTGCCCCATTAGTACGCCAGCGCGCCGTTCAAACTATCCATCTTCCCCTATCTCGCCCCCTTGCAGAGCTCAGTGGAGGTCCCAGTGCCATTCCGGATGATCCCAAGGGAGGTCATTGAGAGTGCAGGCAACAAGCTGTTGGAGCAGATTCTTAAAGTGGCCGTGCCGCGCTTCCTAGAGCAGGTGAGCGTTCGGCAGGTGAGCGTTCGGCAGGTGAGCGTTCGGCAGGTGAGCGTTCGGCAGGTGAGCGTTCGGCAGGTGAGCGTTCGGCAGGTGAGCGTTCGGCAGGTGAGCGTTCGGCAGGTGAGCGTTCGGCAGGTGAGCGTTCGGCAGGTGAGCGTTCGGCAGGTGAGCGTTCGGCAGGTGAGCGTTCGGCAGGTGAGCGTTCGGCAGGTGAGCGTTCGGCAGGTGAGCGTTCGGCAGGTGAGCGTTCGGCAGGTGAGCGTTCGGCAGGTGAGCGTTCGGCAGGTGAGAACTGCGGTTCCCAATTGGCGTGTGTGTGTGCATGAGTGCTGGCAACAAGCTTCTCGAGCAGATTCTCAAAGTGGCTGTGCCGCGCTTCCTAGAGCAGGTGAGCGCTGTGGTTTCTGGTTTGCTGGTTTCTCGCTCTGTGTCTCCTCGCCCTTCCCCTCGTATCCCTTCTCTCTGCACCCAAACTGTCTGCCCCCTCTCTTCTCCCCACACTGGAAGAAGGATCACAAAGCTTGGCAGGAGCAGAAGCGGAGGGGCCTGGAGAAGACACCTCTCAAAAGCCCCTCTGCTTCCATTCCTGCTCTTCCCTCCCTATCCACTTGCTCTGCTTCTCCAGCTACTGTTGCTGCTTCTGACCCTGATCTTCGGCTCCTCTCCCTATCCCTATCCCTCCGCTCTCTCTCTATCCCCTCTGCTTGTCTCTCCTTGCCCTGCCCCACCCGTCTTGTGTCTCTTGCACCCTATCTGTCTGCCCCCTCGCCACAGCTAAAGGACTGGGAAGCTGGGCTACAGGCTCTTCCTGGGCTTTGTCCATAAATCCCCTCTGCTGCTGCTCCTGCTCTCCCCTCCCCATCCGCCCCCCTCCCCACACCTAAAGGACTAAATAGCTAGGCTGCAGGCTCTTCCTGGGCTTTCTCCACAAATTCCCTCTGCTGCTGCTCCTGCTCTCCCCATCCGCCTCCCTCCCCTCAGCTGAAAAAGGACTATGAGGCATGGGCTTCAGGTGACACCTCTCGAAAGCCCCTCGGCACAGGGGAGTTGTAACCTGTACCCGATACTAGCCGGATTGTTACGTGCGTATATAAGAGATGGAAGCTGCAACTGGCCTGGTAGTTGCAATGGATACAGGATATTGTAACCAAGTTGGAAGGCAGTGTCAGAATATATTTCTGTATAACTGCATGTAGTTCTAGCTGTAGTGTAGTTATATTGCTGTCCTGCTTGTGGTGCACCCCCTCCTTGCTTGTCTCTTGTATAACTTGGGCCTTTGGCCCTTTAGTGAACACCTTGTTACGATAAGAATGAATTGATAGAAAATGTGAAGTACAACCCTAGATATAGCAAACCCTAATCATGCAAGTAAGTAGAAATGTAACACCTAGACTAACCTAAACAACACATATAAAATATATGTTGACACACCCCCATAGTCTAGGTGACGGAAGTCCTGTAGAAACAACAAGAGCAAGCAACAGTCACAAGACCAGTCTACAAGAACAAGACAAATCTCAGGGTGGAGCTCAAAGTCACCACACACTCCGAGAGCAAGCAAGGGGCCACAAGGCCAGTCCACATGCAGGTATATAGCAAATATAAAGAGATGCAAGAGTACAAGACATGCAGGACAAGGCATCTCTAAGCAAGCAAGTGAGGACGGGCAGGCACAAGGCCAAGCTGGGTGCAGAAACGCTAGTGGTCACAAGGCGGCAACGCCTTGGTGAAGATATCTGCCGTGTTGGCCTCAGAGACCACACGTCGAACGAGTGCCTGTCCACGCTGCTGCAACTCACGCAGAAGGAAGTAACGAAGCTGGATGTGCTTCGCCTTCCCAACCAGTCGGGGCTCCTCACACAACAGGACAGCAGACCTGTTGTCGGCGAACAAGACTGGGGGAGAGCGAGGCCGCTCACCAAGGTCGGTGAGAAGGAAAGACAGCCAGCGAAGCTCCTGAGCGGCCATGGCCGCAGCGTACACCTCTGCCTCACAGCTGGAACCGGCGACGGACGACGCCCGAGTCGACCGCCACGAAACAGCACCTGCCCCGAGGCTAAAGGAGTACCCCTGTGTAGACCGACGCGTCTCCGCGTCGTCGGCCCACGACGAGTCCGAGTAACCTGTGAGTGTAACTGGCTGCTTCCCTCCAAGGACAAGTCCCATGCCTGATGTACTCGCCACATACTTCGCCACCCTCTTAGCAGCGTACCAGTGGGAAGGTCGGTGTCTCCCAGGCGCAACAAAGCGCGCAAGGACGCTAAGAGGGTAAGCTAGGTCTGGGCGAGTACAGGTCATCAGGTACATGAGACAACCCACCAGCTCAGGATATGGACCACTGGACTCAAATGACTCGTCCGAAGGTGGAGCCGTGAGCCCATGATCCACACCAAGAGGGGTGAGCTGTACCTTGGAGAACGGGAAGCGAAACCGCGTGAGGATCTGCTCGACCATATGCGACTGAGTCAGCGTAATGGTGCGAGCTGCCCTGTCCCTGGTGATCTGCAGGCCAAGGTAGTGCTGCAGCTCACCAAGGTCAGTGCAAGTGTGTCTCCTCTGCAGTTCCTCCTTCACGGAGGCCAGCGCGCGTCGGTCGGGAGTGGCGAACACTAGGTCGTCGACGTAGACCAGGACAAAGAACGGGGTCGAGCCACGGCGAACGAACAGTGACGGGTCAGCAGACGACGGAAAGAAGTCAAGAGCTGCAAGGGTCGAGCGAAGTGTGTCGTGCCACTCACGTGGGGCCTGACGCAGGCCGTAGACTGGTCGACGCAGCTGCCACTGGGTCCCAGGTGGGAAAGAGCCAGTGAAGCCAGGCGGGCGACGCAGCCAGATCTGCTCGTGCAGGCTCCCCTGAAGGAACGCGGTGGAAAAGTCCAAGGAGTGCAACTCGTAGTCGCGCTGGGCTGCAATATGCAGCAACACCCGAAGAGTACTCATCTTCGGGGTGGGAGCGAAGGTCTGGAAGAAGTCCACCCCCTCTCGCTGACTGAAGCCTCTCGCAACATAGCGCGCCTTGAACACAGGTGGTGATCCAGGCGGCCGCTTCACCTTGTAGAGCCATCGGCCACTGACGACATTCGTCCCAGGTGGTGGGACTGCGTCGACGTAAGTGCCTGTGGACCTATAAGATGCCATCTCTGCCTCCTCAGCTGCTATCCAGTACGAAGCCCAGGGTCCCGAGACCGCCTCGGCGTGAGTGCGAGGGATCGGGATGTCAAGGGCGTCTGGATCCCCCTCAGGGGCAAGCAGCATGGCGCAGAGATGAGGAACAGCGGCCGCAAGGAAACCAAGCTCGAACTGCCTGTCCTCTACGACCTCTAGGGGAAAGACAGGAGCACCCCCAGAGGACGGAGAACGTGCAGGGCCACTCACCAAGTGAGCGGCGTAGTCAAGGCGGTGGGAAGAGGCAAAGCCAGAGACAGTGGTAACAAGTGTTGAGACAGACGACAGAGGTGCAGTCGGGTGAGTGACCAACGCGGACAAAACACGGGAGACGACAGGACGGGAGGCACGGAGGTAGTCGGACAACGGGTCGTGAAGCACAATGAGGGACGACTCAGGGGGCTGTGGAAGGATAGGAGGAGGTGGAACACGAGAGCGGAGAACAAGGTGAAACGGACCGTCTGCACGGTAACGGGACCGACAGGGCTGTGGAGACACAGCACGACTGAGGGGAGGACGACGAGTCCACTGGGAGGAGGAAAGGGACTCAACTGGTGGAACAGGAGGGGACGGTAGGGGACCACGAACAAAGCGTGCAGGTGCTGGGTCGGGGAGGTCGCGTAGTCGCAGTCGCTGCTGCTCCGCCTCCTCTGGCGTCTGCTGCGACGGTACCGGCCCCTGCTGCTGCTCCTGTGGCTCCGCCTCTGCCCTCTCCTGCTGCGGCTGCAGCTGTACCCGCTGCTGCGACCGGGACTCATGCGCTACCCTCTCCTGCTGCTGCCGTGACTCCTCCTCTACTCTCTCCTGCTGCGTCTGTAACTGCACCTGCTGCTGCGGGTGGGACTCCTGCTCTACCCTCTCCTGGTGCGGCCGTGACTGCTCCTCTACTCTCTCCTGCTGTGTCTGTAACTGCACCTGCTGCTGCGGGCGGGACTCCTGCTCTACCCTCTCCTGGTGCAGCCGTGACTCCTCCTCTACCCTCTCCTGCTGCGGCTGCAGCTGCACCCGCTGCAGCTGCTGCTGCTGCTGCTCCTTCTGCTGCTGCTGCTGGTGCTCTGACGGCAGCCTATGCTGCTGCTGGTTCGCTGGGGGCAGCCTATGCTGCTTCTGGCTCTGCTGGGGGCAGCCTTAGCTGCTACTGGTTTTGCTGGGGGCAGCCAATGCTGCTGCTGGTGCGCTGGTGGCAGCCTATGCCGCTTCTGGTTCTGCTGGGGGCAGCCTACGCTGCTGCTGGTGCGCTGGGGGCAGCCTATGCTGCTGCTAGTGTGCTGGCGGCAGCCTATGCTGCTGCTGGTTCTGCTGGTTCTGCTGGTTCTGCTGGTTCTGCTGGTTCTGCTGGTTCTGCTGGTTCTGCTGGTTCTGCTGGTTCTGTTGGTTCTGCTGGTTCTGCTGGGGGCAGCCTACGTTGCTGCTGGTGCGCTGGGGGCAGCCTATGCTGCTGCTGGTGTAGCTGGCGGCAATGTAATCGGCTGGGGCTACTGACGGCGGGTGTGGTAGATCGTGGGGAGGCAGGTTTCAGGTGGGGAAGCTGTTAAGGCAGCGGGCTACGGGTGAGGCGGCGGTTCTGTGCAGTTCTGTGCGGTTATGTGCAGTACTGTGCGGTTCTGTGAGGTTCAATGCGGTGGAGAGGACTGGGTGGGGCAGCTGATTCCGGGTGAGGTGCCTGGAACGGGTGGGGCAGCAGGTTTCTAGGTGGGGCGGCGGTTGTCAGGTCTGGGGCGGTGGTTTTCAGGTGGGGAAGCTGTTAAGGCGGCGGTTCTGTGCGGTTCTGAGGGGGATTTCAGGTCTGGGGGCCGGTTACGACGGTGGGCTGCACGTGCGCGCGGCTACGACGTACTAGCGCAGAGCTGCGGGTGCGACTAAGGCTGCGCGCGCAGCTACGTGCGTTCGTCTGCTGCGCGCTAGAGGACTGGGGGGCAACACGCGGGGTAAAACGAGTGGGGCGCGGGGCTAAAAAACCGAGTGACGCTCGGCAAAAAACGGGTGGGGCGCAGGGCAGAAACGGGTGACGCGCGATGTCGACGGGGGGCGCGACCTACTCGGGCTCTACGGGGCAGGGCGCTTCGGGCTATGGGTCGCTACGAGGCGCGCGGGTGGTGGGCCCATAGACTATCGAGAGAAATTTCGCCTAAGGGAAAAAATCGCCTAGGGGAAAAATCGCCTAAGGGAAACCTAGCTCTATACCATGTTACGATAAGAATGAATTGATAGAAAATGTGAAGTACAACCCTAGATATAGCAAACCCTAATCATGCAAGTAAGTAGAAATGTAACACCTAGACTAACCTAAACAACACATATAAAATATATGTTGACACACCTTTCTCCTTTGTTAAACTCTCTCGATACTCATGCTAGTACCCTCAACCCTAGCCATGGGTCCTAAGTTTAACTAGCTACTTTGACATGCTATCAGAGCCAGGTTCCTCCTCGGACCTACCTCATTGGGCCCACCCTTCGCTTCCGCTAATGCGCCACTCTACTGCCCGTCGCGCGCCCCGGGCGCGCGTCGGTTTTCTGCTCGTCGCGCGCCCCGGGCGTGCGTCAATTTTCAGCCCGTCGAGCTCGTCGCGCGCCCCGGGCGTGCGTCGATTTCGTGCCCGTCGCGCGCCCCGGGCGCACGTCGGTTTCTGCCCGTCGCGTGCCCGTCGCGTGCGTCGGTTTACTGCCCCGCGCCCCAGCGCGACCTGCTGCCCCGCGCCGCAGCGCGACCTGCTGACCCGCGCCCCAGAGCGACCTGCTGCCCCCCCGTCGCCCCACTGCTCCCCGTCGCCCCTCCCCGTTTCGTCGCCCTCCCGTGGCGTCCCTCGCGTGGTCTCTGCCGTGCGTGGAGTGGTGGGGTGGTGCCCGAGAGTGGGGGAGGCGGGGGTGGGTGACTCGGCCTCCCC